TGTGTGTGTGTGTGTGTGTGTGTGTGTGTGCGTGTGTGTGTGTGTGTATATATATATATATATATATATTATATATTAGAATAATATGTTTACAATATGCATGTCAAGATAATAGCTATTATAAATTATGTAAGATTGAGTTGTCTTTAAATTATACATATTAGTAAAAGTCGGTAAACATAAATCTCCATACGATATTCGAAGTTTATCATTCTTATTAGTATTCAAGTATTCGTTATAAATAGCGATATTACTTGCAACTTAGTTTAATCATCACTTTAACCGTTGTCAACTTTAAATGTTGATTATTAACTTCCGACGGGCGTGCGTTTGTACTTTGTACACGCGCAGTGACTCTGGAGAGAATTTATGGAAACTTTCAATTTGAGTCCCGGCTCCCCGAGCTATTCTTTCAGTATCTAATAACCTTTCAAATATCGTAAACTTTCATGTTTATTTTACGATAATATCCCTTATCCTTTCAAAATTTTAATCTCATTCCACGATGTTCTTTTTGTACACGGCGTGCGCTCCCGTTATGGAAAAGGTCGCGCTTGCCGGAAGATTAATTAAATGAGAATATAGATCTTAGTACAAAATACAATAACGCTTTTATAATGACCAATGATTTTCAACAATTAAATCAAGGAAAATAATCTTTGTTTAATTTTTATTTTAACAATAGGAAAAAGATCCGATTGGAAAGATATTGAGTACATATCTTCCTAATGTAAAAAGGTTTGCTGAGTAAAATGACTTGAAATCTCATGCCAATCCATTATGTTATATTTATATTGATGAAAATATAAATCCAGAAATATAAATGTTAATTATTTATTCTAGCTGGAATAACGCGTGGTTTCGTGCGAGGGTGATCGACTCCTAGTCGTCCCGAATTCGAACTTGATTTAGAGCACCCAGATCTGAGGCAGAGAGTCACAGAGCCGAGCAGTGGGGATACGCACACAACGAGAAAGCACGTAATTGTTTCGACGGCCGAGGTTCTGAGCACACGTATGTGCTTTCTCTTCGTGTGTGTATCCCCACCGCTCGGCTCTCTGTGACTCTCTGCCTCAGATCTGGGTGCTCTGACTTGATCCTCATCCTGTATGCCTCGATTTATAAAAGCTTGATTACAAAGTTGTGAATAAAGGAGTGAGGTGAATTGTAACCTGGTTCGGGAACAATAAATACCGATACATGCATACTCTTGTTCTTTACTCTAGTTTAATTGCTAGAAGTCATTACAGAAGGAAGCTGAAAGAAAAACATACTAGACGCTAATATAAAACTCTTATGAATAGTCTTCATTGAATAGTCAAATTTTGATTGAAAAGAACCTAAGCAAAGATCAAAATTAGTACCGCTACTTATGACGAATATACTTTGAAATATACTTTGAATATTATATTGGATATTTTGAATATTATATTATATTATTATATTGGATATCTGCATAAATAAGTTTGCTTATACTGCATGGTCTGATTATACCTTTGACTAAAATTTAATAATTGTTTTAACATCGATACAGTCAGGTATCGGTTCAGCAACCAGCACATAACAAGGATGAGTTCAAAACGGGAAAAGTAATGAATGAAGAAGAAGAGGAAGATGATGAAGATGATGAGGAAGACAATTCAGATTCCGAAGATGATCCTGACCGATTATGGTGTATCTGCAAACGGCCACATAACAATCGATTTATGATATGCTGTGATGTCTGCGAAGATTGGTTCCACGGAAAATGTGTACATGTCAGCAAAGCCATGGGTAAGTATCTGGAATCTAAGTTCAGATGAAAATATTTTATATTCGTGTCATACGATGTTTGTTTTATACAAATATATGATAGGTCAACAAATGGAGGAAAAGGGTATAGAGTGGGTTTGTCCAAATTGCCTAAGAAAGAAAGCTGAGGAAGAAAAAATGAAATCGAATTCGCAATCGCTAGCTGGAAAGCAAAAAACAAAGGTTGAGTCAGTAGGTGAGACACCATTATCGCAAGCTGTGTCTACGAAAGAAATATCTCCGTCGAGTTCTGCTGCCGACCACAGTGCTACTCCAGCTTCTAGTACAATGCAATGTGTTGTTTGTAAGAAGGAAGCCAGGAACTCCAGCATTTATTGTTCAGATGCGTGTATTCTCGCTCACGCTCAAGAAACTTTAACCAAGGAGAAACCTGTGCCATCTGGATCAAATATAAAATCTACGAAATCACCTGCGATAGACACTATGAAGGCAAAACCCGAGGCTAGAGTAGTAGTCTTTGACAGAAAAACTGGTAAAGTTCTTACCGGTAAATAGATTATATCTGGTTGATGTTAAATATTACATAAAAGTACAGTCAAATCACCCTCTATTTTGAATAAGCTGGCTTTTTCATAAATTTAATCTCTCATGCGCTGCTGTTCTATTATTATTTGTCATGTAATCACATGGAATCATAGCAAATATGATATTTTTTGTTTTTTACTCGCTTTGTCTCTCAATTTATTGTGGGTATATTTTTATTTTGCACATTCATCATTAGATAGGAGTATGGATTCAAGGGAAAGTTAAGAATAAAGTATTTGTTCAGAATAGAGAGATTTATTGTATGTATGCATACGTGCGCGCGCGCGTACGTATGTGATGCGCGCACCGGCAGAAATGGTATCCCTCGGTGGCAAGGTTACGTATGTAAGCACACGCATATCTAGCCGCTCACGGGACACCATTTATGTCGATGTACGTGTGTGTGTGTGTGTGTGCGTGCGTGCGTGCGTGCGTGTGCGCGTCGCGTGTGTGCGTGTATATATATATATATATATATATATATATATATATATATATATATA